TTCGCCACCAAGTAGCTCATCACCAAGGCACGTCAACACCAGGTCAAACACGAGGTACTTAGCCAAAAAATTTTACACATCCCAAAAAATGGTACGTGACCAAAAACGGTTACATCAGGTACTGGTTGGCGGAGAGCCTTCTGTACTTCCATCCCTCGAGACACAGAAAAAACAGTTGCAGACAAGCAGCAACAAGCCCGCACTACCAGCCCCAACCCTAGTCCCAGAAGCTGTACAAAGCTAGCCCTTTTTCTGTCCGGCGGTAGCAATCCCTCAACGCCGCGCTTGAAGTCCAATCCCTCCACCCCGCGCTTGCAATCAGAACCAATTTCAAGCCCCAGCTTGCGGTGCCGAACGACCGCAGCATCTACTGTGCCACCACCATCTTCGCACGACAACAGTTCCAAGCTCCAATGCAAGACTACGGTGACAACAAAAAGCCGCCGACTATTTCAGGTCTCCAACCCATCGTCTCCCAGACCGCCTTCGACATTTTCCCTCGTTAAAGGGGTTGGTTTCGTACTGGGAATCTTGGTGCCGGTGCCGGTGCCGGAGCCGGAGCCGGAGAAGGAGACCAGTTTCTCTGATATCTGAAAAACGAAAACATCAGAAAAAAAAGAAGAAAAATAAACAATGAGGTGAAAGGTGGGATGGAGAGTACCGCCGGTTTCCGTTGTAGGTGCCGGTGCCAGAGAAGGAGAAGATGACTCTGCCGCCAGTTTCTCTGGTATCTGGAAAACGAAAATATCGGAAAAAAGAAAAAATAAAATATGAGGTGAAAAAATGGGCCAGAGAGTACCGCCGTTTGCCGTTGTCGGTGCCGGTGCCGGAGAAGGAGAAGATGCTATGGTGAGGGAGAAGCATTCGGGGTCAGGCGGAGCTAATGAAGGGTTTGAACAAGTAAATGGGACTTTTGAGGGGTAACGGACGTTCCGTTAGCCTCGCATGCGCTGTTTAGAGTCTCTCGTGTGAAGGGACAGGTGGCGGATGGTGAGCGTGTGGGGCGTTTGTGGGGAAAAACTGGGTGGGGCGCAGATTTGAGCTCTAGCCAAGATGGGTATTTCTGAGATGGAATTTCCCAAGGGATTTGAGGATCTGATTGGTTCGAACTGGGTACTCAATGTGAGGTGCCTTGGCCCCAAGATACCCACCCAGTCACCCACAAGAGTAAGGCATACTGAGATGCAGAACCAGAGTAGAATGAGAATAATGAACAAACAAATCGGAATGGCCCCTGTGCTGTGGCTACCCCACAAAAGGAAATTGAGAGTGGTTAGTATCAGGAAAGCAATACTAGGGATGAAGCAGGAAACACGCCATGAAACAGAAACCCATCCTATGTAATCACCACACCCATTTGTCCTCCAAAGTCGAACAGCAACATAACCAGCAGCAATTCAAGCACCATGTAGAAGAACAGAGTTTGAACTATAAAATAATTGAAAATAACAACAAAGAAGAATATAAGAATGATCGACTTCAGTGTCTTGGATCACTGAAGTTCTATGTATTTATAGAACTTCTTTAGAGTTTGGCTTTACAGGTCTTATATAGATAAGATAAAACAGTGAGAGTCCTAGATAGAGTACAGTTAGAAAGCTCATGTTGATCCTAGTTTACAATTGATAAGATAACTCCTATCCTTATCTATCCTAGAGTCAAGACTAGATCTGGATCGAATATGGTTATCTCCAATATTATATCCAATATGCCCCCTCAAGCTGAACGACAGGATGTGAAGCTTGGACTGTAGAAGACCAAAACGTGGTGTAACTAGAGGATTCGTGAAGATGTCGGCAACTTGATCTTCAAAACAAATGTACCGTATAGATAATTTGTTGGCCAAGCAGAGATCTCGGAGGAAGTGGAAGTCAACTTCAACATGCTTGGTGTGGGCATGGAACACTGGATGCGGAGCAAGATATGTAGCACCTAGGTTGTCACACCATATTGCTGGCTTCGAGATAGGGAAGCCTAAATTAGTCAAAAGAGACTGAATCCATAAAACTTCTGTTACAATGTTAGCAAGAGACCCGAATTCTGATTCTGTACTAGAGCGAACAGCAGTTTGTTGCTTTTTGGAGCTCCAACTGATGAGATGCCTGCCTAAGTAAATTGCAAAACCTCCCGTAGATCGACGGTTATCCGAACAACTGGCCCAATGGGCATTTGTGAAGGCATTCAGATGGAGAGAAGTAGATGAAGAAGGGAAATGTAGACTGTGATCAAGTGTGCCTTTCAGATAACGCAGGATGCGTTTGACAGCAGATCAGTGTTCATCGGTTGGTGACTGAAGGAATTGAAAAACCTTGTTAATTGAGAAGGAAATATCAGGTTTAGTGAGAGTGACATATTGTAGGGCACCAACAACACTGATATTCAGTTGGATCAATGAAAGGTGTACCAGATGCTTGACTTAATTGCGTTAATATTGCCATTGGAGAGCTACAAGGCTTGGCTCCTTCTAGTTTGGTTCAATGCAATAAATCGAGGATGCACCATTTCTGAGATAGATGAGGACCATCAGAATTAAATTGAGCTTCGATCCCAAGGAAATAGTGTAAAGGACCAAGATCTTTGACAAGAAAAACTGCATAGAGCCTCTGAAGCAGAGAGGTAATAGTAAAAGGAGAGTTCCCAATAATGTTGATGTCATCAACATACACCAATATGTACAAGAGAGTGGAATTACTCTTGTAAATAAGTAATGAGGGATCAACCACAGAGTTCCGAAAACCCAAATGAAGAAGAGATGAAGTCAGTTGAGGGAACCAAGCACGAGGGGCTTGTCGAAGTTCATATAGGGTTTTTTTGTAATTTGCAGACATAATCCGGGTAGTCAGGGTGTTTGAACCCCTTGGGTTGACAAACATAGATATCTTTGGTGATAAGACCATGGAGAAACGCATTATTAATATCCAGTTACTGAATAGGCCACTGGTGAGCTGTTGCAAGAGCTAACATGGTATGGACTATGACTAGCATTACCACCGGACTAAAAGTATCAGAGAAATCTACACCGGGAACTTGATGAAAACCTTGAGCGACAAGTTGGGCCTTGTATCGCTCCAGAGAACCATCTGATTTTATTTTAATCTTGTACACTCACTTAGTACCTATTACGTTCATGGATGAATGGTAGGGCACGAAGTCCCATGTGCCATTATTTAATAAAGCATCG